GATATATCATTATAAACCTACCAGATGGCTAAAAGTTTTTTCAAAAAATGAAAAGAACAAGTTTTGAAGAAACTGTGGAGCAGCCAGAACTCTCATACATTGGGGGACAGATAGAAAATGGTACATTTGCTTTGGAAACTGTTTGGCACTGTCTCCTAAAGCTAAACATACACCTACCCTATGGTAAATTGCCCAGTCTTGGGTATGTCTTTATCAGCAGCGTGAAAATATATCAGCCTCCTATTTGGTAAAGTAGCATGGTGACAGCTGCTTTTCAAATGTTGTATAGGTCTGTGATAAAATGTCATGGCCGTGTTCCAAGGATTGCACAGTAATTCTCCTATTAGAGCTTGCCAGCGATTTTATACACTATATCTATTAGATACTCATCAGCTATATATCTAGATACCCACAGTACCACAGATCTTTCAAATAATATGGCAGAGATGCAAGTCTGCTGTAACCACAGACTTGACCTGCTGTATCACCCCTCCTTCCTCTGGGCCACATACAAAACTGTCAGTCATTTGCATCATCTCATACATGATTCAGAGCAGCATACTCAAGTGTGGTATGTACTGCCTATCCAACCCCCAAAGACTTACTAAATGCTTTCTTAGTGGAAAGAGGTGTAAAGGACATGCTATGGTCTAAATGTTGGTGTCTTCCAAAATTCATATGTTGGAAACCAATACCCAGTGTGATAATATTAAAAGATGGGTCTTTTAAGAAGTAATTATGTCATGATGGCTCTACTCTCAGGAATGGGATTGGTTCTCTTACGAAAGAAGCTGAAGGGAGTGTCCTTGCTCCCCTCTGCCATGTAAGGATGCAGCAAGAGGTGCCATCTTTGAAACAAAGCAAGCCCTCACCAGACCTCAAAATCTTCTGGTACCTTGATCTTAGACTTCTTAGCCTACAGAATGGTGAGCAATAAATTTCTATTCTTTATAAATTACCCAGTCTAAGGTATTTTGTTATAGCAGCCCAGAACAAATAAAGATAGTGCCAGAACCTGTTCTTTGTCTGAGGAGATATCCTAGCTTCCTTAGCTCAAGGGAATCCTAAAATTTTTATCCATATGGCAGCATCTTGAATTTTTGCAATGTTTAGTTTGTTCTATTATTAATGGACTAAGGTGTTACTAAAGAATGGGAGCTAGATACATACCCTTTTAGGTGACTAGCAAGGTACTTAAACTGTGGGACCCTAGTCCCTGTGGCTTGTGTTTGCTGATGTGACCCTCATTCAACATATTCTTGTCATTTCTTGAGAACAGTGCAATGGTTGGGCACATCGGAAGCTGCAGCTTAGTGTCCGAGCCCTCCAGGATTTTCTTGCCCCACATAGTACTTGCTATCTGCTTCATACCCTTTATTAAAGCTAAGTAAACTTAGTGTTTGGTGTACTTATTGTTTCTTGTATCTTTGACTGACAATATGAAATTAAAACTCATTCTAATGGTCTTGGTTTTGCAAGATTACAAAATAAAAATAAAATACTAGAAATAATAAATATGGTTTGGCTGTGCCCCTACCCAAATCTCATCTTGAATTCCCATGTGTTGTGTGAGGGATATTTGTCCCTACCCAAATCTCATCTTGAATTCCCATGTGTTGTGTGTGTTGAATCATGGGGACAGGTCTTTCCCGTGCTGTTCTCATGAGAGTGAATAAGTCTCACAATATCCGATGGTTTTAAAAAGTGGAGTTCCCTTGCGCAAACTCTCTTCTCTTCTCTGCCACCATGTGAGATGTGCCTTTCTCCTTCTGCCATGATTGTGAAGTCTCCCCTGCCACATAGAACTGTAAATCCAATAAACCACTTTCTTTTGTAAATTGCCCAGTCTTGGGTATGTCTTTATCAGCAGCGTGAAAATGGACAAATACAACGATGATTATGGCAGCTAAAAAAAGAAAAAAAAAATGCAGGTTAGGCACAACAGAAGAGAAAGTTGCTGAGATGGTAGACTTTAATTAATTACCCAGAATGCAGCAAGGAAAGACAGGACAGTGGAAAAGAGGTGTTAAAAAACACTGAGAAGAGTTTAAGAAGGCAGAATATTTACTTAATTAGAGTGAGAGCACAAGAAATTCAGAGAGTGATGCAAGGCAGAAGTGAAGTAATATTCAAAGAGATGATGTCTGAGAACTTTCCAGGAATAATAAATAATACAAAACTTCAGATTTAGGAAATACAGCAGCGTATTTCAAGAAGAATAAAGAAGTAATTTCCTTACAACTCATAGTGAAATTTCAGAAGGAGGATATAAAATAGAACTGGGACATCAATTGGACAAACAGTTGACTTTTCCAAGCCTAGTACAACAGTTGGAAGATGGGATGCCAAG